AATGATTCAAATATATGAAAAAATATAGAAGATTATGCTATATCAGCTATTCTGGCCTCCTAATCCTAGTACAACTCCTAGCCCTCCCTGTACCAGGACACTGTACGTCAGAGACAAAACCAACCTAACCAACATCAACCATAGCTGATCTCTTCTCGCCTCCTTGCAGCCCCCCCCGGTTCACCACTGGAATGCCTTCCACCCTCAGCAAACCCCAGATCTCTCTACAAGGCCTCACACTCCTGCCATTTTCAGGTTACAGGACAACGCCCCAGCTCCGGCCAGCGTCGTTCTGGCATCAGCAAACCAAGGGCACAGAACAGAGCAACTCAGTAGATATCAGTCCAGGTTCAACCATCTCTGAAATCCTATATCCCGAATGTGGAAGAATGCTAGATGCTGCCAAAATTTCATAACACCAAAACGCTTTATATAACAATAATCAGATGATGATATTAATGATGTGATGATGATGATGATAATGATGATGATGATAAATATGATGATGATGAATATGATGATTAGTAGATGAAAATATAGAATATGTTATAACAGCACTTCTAGCCTCCTAATCTTCGAAACCTCCCAACCCTCCCTGCACCAGGACATTACATCTTAGAGACAATACCCTCCTAACCAATGTCTACCATAGCTGACCTGTTCTCGCCACCTAGACTATCCCTGGCCCCATAGGTTGTCAAGGCAGCCCCCCCGGTTCGCCACTGGATTGCCTTCCTCCCTCGACAAATCCCCAGATCTCTTTACAAGGCCTCACACTCCTGCCAATTGCAGGTTACAGGGCAACTCCCCAGCTCCGGCCAGCGTCGTTATGGCATCGCCAAACCAGGGGCAAAGATAGAGCAACTCTGTAGATATCGGTCCAGATTCGACCATCTCTAAAACCTACATCCCAATTAAGGAAGGAGGCCAGATACAGCCGAGAATTACAGCACACCAGAAAGCATGATATAACATGGATGATGATGATGATGATTTTGATGATGAGATGATTCAGAAAAAAATCCCCCCTCTCCCTTCCTTCCTCCATTTTCTCCATTCCCCTATCTATCCCTTTACTCGAATCTGCCCCCGCTGGGATTTGATGTCCAGCCCCAGAAAAGAGTATTCCTCACAATCTGCCTGTACCCCCTCCAGGGTTTCACCACCCGCCTAATGAAACCCCTGCGGGGCTGGGCTCTCCCCCTCCCCCTCACCAAAATGTCATTCGCTTGGACAGCACCCTGAAGATACTAATAATGAGGATGATGATGACGACGCACTCACCTGCCGATGCGAAAGGCGAGCGATGACTTGAAGAGCAAACTCTAATGATAACAAACTAATAATGATGATAATGATCATCATAATGATGATAATAATGTTGATGATGTCAATAATGTTGATGATGTCAATAATGATGATGATGATGATGATGATGATGATGATGCTGATGATGATGATGATGCTGATGATGATGAAGACACACCAATGATGATGCTCATAATGATGATGATGATGTTGATGATGATGATGATGATGTCAGTAATGCTGCTGATGATGATGAAGATGAAGATGATGATGATGATGATGATGATGATGATGATGATGATGATGATGATGAAGATGATGATGACGCACCAATGAAGATGCTCATAATGATGATGGTAATGTCAATAATGTTGCTGCTGCTCCTGCTGCTCATGATGATGCATGATAGCCATACCCACTCCGCTGGGCCCAAAGGAAGCGCCAACCTCCATACTGATGATAATGATGATGACGATGGTGATGATGATGATAATGATGAAGATGATGATGATGATGGTGATGATAATGGTGACGATGAAAACTGCCGATGATGATGATGATGACGATGATGATGATGATGAAAACCGCCGATGATGATGATGATGATGATGATGATGATGACATCGATGATAAAATCGAAGATGGTGATGATGAATGAAAATAACCGCCGTTATCCCCACGTTATGAAAAATATCGATGATGATAATGATGAAGATTACCGCTGTTGGCAACGCAGTACGAGTGAAGGCCGACGATAAATCAATTAGGACACTGAAACTGAAAGCTGGCAAGAATCGAAGAGAACGTCCCACCCCATGAAGCAAAGTATCCTCAGTCACACTGAGGTTTCCAACGCTTGAAGGTTCGCGCCACGGAGCAGAAGCGCCAACCCCCTTTCTCTACCTGCGCCATCTTGTGACGCTAGGAGATCAACACGAAACAGAACAGAAGACCATCGCTTCTCCCTCCTCTCTGTCAACTTGAGAGGCCACCATCCCCCTTATAGAGTAGCAACGCTCAACGCCCGTGTCTGTGTGATGTGACCTCCCTCATTTTCCGCACCCGCGCACTAACGCTGCTCCACCCGGCAGCGCACCGCCCACTAGCAGCATTCCACCTGGCAGCGCACCGCCCGCTAGTGGCACTCCGCCCGGCAGCGCACCGCCCGCTAGCAGCGCTCCACCTGGTACACGCATCGGTACACTACCACGTCGCCCGCTCGCCGCACGTGTTTCTCCATAGCTTACTTGGCGCCGGCGCCACACCTAACCTATCTTATAACTCTAATAACTCTATCTTATCTATCCTTATAACTATCCTGCCTCTCCTTGCAAACCTAATAATTCTCCCCTAAGACGGGGTGAATGCAGAGAATCCCAGCTTAGGATTCTAACAACGGTAGTTGCTTCCTTCTCCAAACCCCACTGCCTGCCTACTGTGGCCCCCGAAAAACCCCAACAACCGAGCGTTACAGGTTGCAACAATATCGACAATAAACAACAGTCATAAGCAACAACAACACTGACAAAGAGCGTACTAAGTTAAACTCTCCTGTTTAGCCTTCCTCCTGGGGCAGCCAGGGGATTCGACTACCAATCATCAATACAATAGGAAACCATTCAAATCATACTTGGAGCAGTCAGGAATAAAAAATCAACTGTGCGCCATCCACCCGAAGCAATGAGCCCCAAAGGGCCCATGTATCCAGAAACCACCGGAGACCACCTTGTGATAGCTGCTGGGGTTTCACTTTGCGACTATGTTGCATGCCCGGCCGTGGCCGGGGGGGTCCAAATCGGCCGATGGCCGAATCGGCTCGGTTCGGCCTAGCCCG